GTGTAGAAATGCGCTTAATTTTGGCTGATAAACTGAAAACCAAAGTAAATCCGCCAAACCATTCCTTTCCGCTAACGCCTTTTTGACTGCAATCTGCAGCAGATCAAATCGCATTAATCGGTATAATGCTTTAACTCATCCATAACCCATTCTCACATCACCCGACCCTCAGTAGAATCTGGATGGCTTTGCTCATTTGCAAAAAATGCACGTGGACTAGGAGATCCTGAGAATCAAAAATTTGTAGTGTTATTAGGCCCTAGGGCAGTACCATTCGTATTGTTTATGATATCCGCCTAAAGTAGTCGGACCGATGTCGTAAATGAGGCTGAATTAGACGCGACTGAAAAAGATAAATTGTTATTAATCCTTTGTTCGTGGTAAATGGTTAAATGTCCCAGAGTCTCCACCACACTTTTGTGCATGAAGATTACTAGTACTAACATCGATCTGGAGGACTGATTTTAAGCCTTTCGTGTAACTCGGGCCTATAGCTCGTTAAAGCAAATGTGAAATAGATGCCTGAAGTTGCAGGTTAATGCGACGCCGTTGTGAAATGACGTTAGCAGAGAGTTGAAGTGCTTTTGCTATTAGCGCCGTAAATTACATTCGCCGTGTTTATTATGAGAGGAGAGAAATCAAATTGCAAATGGACTGTTTATCTGAAATTATCAGATGTTTCCTCAGATCACCTTGAAAGGGGATAATGTTTGGATCAGAACTACCATGTGTGAATAAGTCAACTTTATTTGATTAAGCAAGAATTTGGAAAAACTGACTGTCCTTACAACACAATTCGTCTTCAACTCACATCTGTTGATTGTCAAATCAAGTGCATTCCATGGGCGAATGTTCACTATAACCCAGTGACGTTGAGGCTATGGTCAAGGGATAGTAATTACATCTATTTAAGGCCCGGTTTGGGTGACTGACAGTCAGTTAGTAAAACGGAGAAATAAGCGATGACATCAATATTTAACGAGTTCCCTTTCATTTCTGACTCTGGCACTGCCTATGATTCATGCAACGATAGGGCTAGTCAAAAGAACAGAAAGTGGAAATCTGTCCCTACCGACAATCTCTTAAGACTAAGGCTACAGAAGTCGGTGAGTAAAGAAAATGAAAAAACACCCAAGTTATTATGCCACCTTTTCCATATTTCATCTTCCTTTATTTCGCCTTTCCTTAATTCTCCTCTCACCTTAGTTTCCATAAGTAAATTGTATGCAATATAGGCCATACGAAACTTGAAATTGCGCGTGTGTACACTGTGTTTAATTTGCACTTTGCCAGTTGTGAATTGTCTAGCCTAAAGGAGAATCTATTTACTGGATTTCTTGCAATCCGAATTTCTCTGCTGGCTAGAGAATTTGTGTTAGGTTTAATTATGGCTTTATTTTTCATCATGCTCTTTTATCAACTTGTTTCGATTGAAACAGCCGGCGTCAATTGGGATTCAATGAGCTCCACCTCCACAGCTGTCTCTGCGTTTACATCTGCATTCGCCGCCGAATCTAAGCTATATCTTCCTCAACGTCGACCACTTCACGCAGGTGTGCCAACCAAAAGGCGACGTTGGATGATGTTGATCTCATGAATCAACGAAAATTGGCGAAGTGTGGCATCCTTAAAATGCGTAAGTAAATGCCACTTCCCTCTATTGCCCTTACAAGCGATTTTTATTGTTTACATTGTACTGCACTCGCATCGACTTTCCTGCTCACTCACTTTACTTTTTTGGCGGTCAACATAACGTTTAAAATATTTGCATCCACTCTAGTTAGGCATAGGCTTAGCGCTGCACTGAACAAGAAGTACTCCATTTTCTTTAGAATAACTGCAGAATCATTCCTCTAATTCTGCGCACTTTGTTTAGCTCGGTCGTAGAAGTATGCATTTAGAACTTTTGGGCTAGTATTGCCAATGCAGTTGATACCGCTATAGAAGAGATCAACAGGTGGTCAGCGACGTTCACTGGTAGCTGATGAACATTTCCATTTCCTGATTTCTCAGGTTGACAAAGGACGAAGCTGATTGCCTCTCCACGACAGCGTAAAGCATCATGATCAGCAAAGTGGCAGCACTTTCCAGTAATCATCAATTACCAATCTTCTTTTTCGCTTTGTTGGAAACATTGTATTTGCAATAAATTAAACAGTCACTTTGTGTCCATCTTTATCCTAAGAAAGGAACTTGATGTTTACAACCCGAAATTTTAATCTTGTGTTTCATTTACATGCCTACCACATGGACTGTTGTTAACACAAATAAACCATTAACCGAAACATACATTAGCTCATTTTCAGGTAGCACTCTAAAGCTACACTTTTAAGTCGTCATTGGCACCTCTGTAATGTGTGCTTGTGTTCCAAAAATAAAACATTGTAGGCGCACTTGTCAATAGTCCTGAATTTACAATTGCTTAAGAATATGGAATCTCACACTGCGTTTTTACCTCCTCCAGATTACATTAAATTGTACAGTTAAACATACACTTACGGTGGGACAGAATCAGAAGAGGAAGCTGAGTGTAGCCCATCCACTTAGAGACAATGCTTGCACTAATAATCTGGCCTACTTCCCACTTGCCTTTCTCTTTTAAAATCAGCGAATTTACGGATATACTTTTACCAACTAGACTAGGGTGCGAAGTTTGATTAATAGTTGTACTGGTCAGCTAGACATTCACTCGACGCATGGTGATATCATATATCAGTACATGAAATCCTAAAGATAGAATGACTGATGGGTTTTCAATTTAGCGTTAATGCCCAACTGATTCAATTCTTTTTGTACCGTTGATATACCTAATAAAATTGCTTGCTACATTGTCAGGTTGGGAAAACGCTTTTAATTAGCATCATGAGCTATCCATTCAAGTGTTGGCAAGGCTATGCACAGATTGGTAAGAGGATGTCAATGTAGTTTAAGGTGAAAAGCTGGCGCCGATACTAAAATATGTGGCTACTCAGTGTTTGTGAAGGAGGGTGTGAGTGAGCACAGTCGATACGGCCTCGGCAAAACCGACAATTCCACGTTATTTTGGCTGTAATTGTTGTATCATTATTATAATTATGCTGAAATCGGTGTATAATTTGACACCTAGAATTATATGCGCCCTAATAGGGAAGTAAAAAAACGAGATTGTTCCCAGTCTTTAAATTTCTTTTAGTGATCAACATTTGGGCACTTGGGCACCGAAGATGTAGAGAAAAATCAAAAGATATAAAGCTAGATTTTTCATTGGCTTTCCAGTACTGTTCCATACACTCCAATGCCCGTTATTTTACTGCTGCACTCTTTCAAGTCGAGTAAATGAGTTATTGATAAATAAATAGACACTAAATATACCACAAATAACAACGTAATAAATAAATGTGTTTGTGACTGATGGACTGCGCAAAATAAGGCGCTTGAAACACAAATTTCTACCAAAAAAAAGATTTTTGACGCTTTGAAATTAGGTGCACATTACGTTTGGATAAACTCTTTCTGTCAAATTTCGTACCTACATGATACGCCATTGTTCGTGTCAGGACAAAAAGGAGTATTTACACTGCCTGCTCTCAACCGATTACTTATGGGACCTGACCGAACGCCGGATAGCTCCAAGCCTAAAAGCACTTCACTTGCAATTCAGTCGAATCCGGTAAAGCATCATAACGATCATTGACATGACAATAGAATTTAGCCTTGACATATCTTTAGATTATGAACAGTTTATTTACCACACTAGCTGTTTAGGAGCATAGACTTCAGTATATTTATCTTCTCCTCCCTTTCTAAAGCCGGTGTATACGTGTGCCCATCAAGGGGAACGCTGAGTGTTAGTAGTAGTGCCAACGCAGACCACTACTTTGGGAAAAGAACCTGTACGAAGGCAAGTATCTTATTTTAGCTTGCAACATAATTAGCACCCCATGCTTAAATACTGTATCAAATGACCCCTACGTCATGTTATGTATGACGCTATCAAATTTGAGATGGCAGTCTTTTTGTCGCAACAATTTTGGCGTCTCGTAAAACTTTGGCCTGCCTTTTAATAACCTTGCAATTGTGCCTGTAAATACGCAATTTTTTAGGGAAA